AGTAACGTTCTAACTTGTTGATTAGCAAAACGTATATTAAGAATAATTTTGACGAGATAAATGAGCTTACCAACAAGGCTTTTGTAAGCTATAACGTCCAAAAATTTACTCCTATAATTTCTACCAAGATGAACTTTATAATCCGTAGTAGTGGTGACTAGTCTAACTCCACTAACCAACTTCATCCAAATGCTCTACGTCCACTGACCAACATTAGCAAATTTATAAGATGAATGTTTAAAACACTTATTGTTAAAGGAAACTTATAAGTGAGGAGGTGGTAGGATGTTCTTACCAGTCAAAGACGGTCTTCCAATTGTAAATGGAGTATCCTTTAGAAAATTCATAAGAATTTCATATTTTTGTATTCTTATGGTGAGATTTCCATTAACCTCTTGTCCCGAAATTGTATTTGCATGTCTGAAAAAAGTTGGTGTTGCACGTGTGCCTCATATTTATGATAACAAGTCTTTTTTTTATATGACCTTTCATTATACAGTTGGGAAATATGGCATTTGTCTACCAAATCTACCCCGCCCTTGCCTATGCCCCAGTAATTCCTCCCGGAACACTTGTTGTGTTGCCACTCTTTTGATTTCTAGCATTTGGTTGATCAGGGGCTTTGAGATCTAGAGACTGCATGATGCTTGTATAAATTTCACCATTATGTTGCTGTTGTCAAGGTTACTTCCATACAGTTACCTTTCACTTTGTGACATCCTATAAAAGAGTTTGTCCATTTTTTGCAATATATCACTAAAACGGATTTGAGATATGGGAATATGGTAATTCTCAGTCAAGCCTCTAAGAAAGTGCACAATCACATTGGTCTTCTGATTAGTCTTGGATATGTTATGTAAAACTGTCCCAATGAATAGTGGAAGTACAGGTACGATGAGGGTTTACTTGATAGTTTTTCCATCTCTTCTCACATGGTGATTAGGCGGGTGTGATATTTAAACAAAGATTTATTGCATTGATTGAGGTTACATAGCCGTTGTTGCTACTATATCATTCTAACCAAATTCTCCTAGAGCGTATATGAGTTTCAAAGTTTTCCATCCTTAGTTGCAGTCTTTAGGCTTCTCACACCCTTGTCAAAATTCATCAACTTAGTGTAGAATCCAAATCATCACCATAGTGTGCGTCTTGTCCATTGTCATTCTAGGGAATCTTCTTCTTCTACCTTTGGGATGTTTTGTGTAACACCTTAGGCAAATTCCACATCGACAAAGCACAAGAGAGATTCATAATTTATAAGTAGGAAACCGGCCTTAACCGACAAGAAGTGTTTTGGGTTGAAATGGAGGAGTTCTTGTGAGAACTCCGAAGTTAAACGTGCTCAGCGTGAAGCACTGCAAGGATGGGTGACCTTGATATGCACCCAAAACTAAAAACCGTGAGGGTCTGGATACAAAGCGGACAATATCTTCGTCGGGAAAAGGTTCGAGAAGTTATATTATGTCTATTATCATGAGCTTCCAATGTTTTTGTACTCTAGGCTTTTTAGATTTTAGGATTGAGCTTCTGAGTAACCAATATGTGTCCTATTAGGTATGTGGAGGTAGAAAGGATAAGAAAATGGGTAATCATTTGGGTTTCTTGTGTCAGATTTATTGTTTCTAGATATGTTGTCATTCAAATTTTTTAGTTGTTGCTTCCATATAACAGTGGTGATGTAGAGTCTTTCATTATTGGTAGAAGCTAAGAACACAAAAAAAGGAGGAGGAAGAAGAAGAGTGAAGCAAAGGAAAGTATATAGAAACCCTAACTAGGCTCTAGTTCCACAAGAACAAAGTTGTTTAAGTTTTTTTTTTCTTACATGCTATTAATTTGCGAGAGAAATTCGAAGTCCACCCTGGGATCTCTATGTTGAAACCGAGAGGTGTACCTTCAACTAAGCCCTATTTTGTAGTTGTTTAGGTTTTTTAAAGTGAAGTGATCTTTCCCTAATTCTTATCACTCATTTATATATGTATGTTAATCCAAATCAAGCTCTTCATATTACGAATAGTTTGAGACATAATAAACAATAAAATTTGAAAGAGCAATAACAGCTTTCATTGTTGTCGTTTGGGAAAAGAGCATGCATAGCTCATGAATTGTAGGTCTCTATTACTTAGAATTACAATATTTCATTTGGATGAGCTATTGGATTATGGAGAATTTATGAGGAACTGGGCTCAAATCCCTCGTTAAAAAGTCAATGTAATTTGTATGTGGGATTTAAACAAAAAAACCATGTTTGTTTATGGATGTATGTATTCAATACAATAATTTGAAGTTCAGTTTTTCCCTTTATTGCTTGTTCCTCGTTTGTCTTCAACAAAGACAATAGAGACAACAGGAGTAAGAAAGGGAGAACAAACCTAGAACCACCACCACGAACATTATCTTCGGCCCGACAAGAACCATGACACAGACAAACAACTATCAGCGATCAAATCCCAATCCTTAATCTACGCGATCGATTATCCCAATCCCTAGTTGACAATTGATCCAGAACCATGACCCAAGCAAATCTCTCTCCATCAAATCCTCAGCACGCGAAGGTCGACGAGTCTCTCCACCGACGGGCAGATGTGGCTGGGAGGAGGAGCTTTGAAGATTGCAAGAGACAAATTTTTCTCTCTACTATTGTTGTCGTCATGACATCATTGACCCGTCATCGAAATCAACTCTAGTGAATCAATCATTGTAGCAAATCCAGATATGGTCATCGATATATCCATCTTTGAATGTGAGATCTGAAGAGGATGATAAATTTTAGTTTCATCCGAGGCTATGGAGAGGCTTGTAATGGAATGTAATGAAATTAATAATGTTCTTAATTCCAGTATGCCAGCGGCGCCTTGAACGTGATGTTTTGTTGATTGCTTACTAGGAACATAGTTTGATGATTGGAGGGGGAGAGAGCATGCGTTGGTGGTGATAGTGATGATTGGAGGGGAGAGAGTGACAGAGAGGTAGAAGATGTCGAAGGAAGAAGATGAAGGAAGGAGGGAGATTGAAGGAAGAAGAAAGGGTTGTTTAGGAAATATAAAAACTAAAACGTTGGATTTCAAAATAGCTTAAGAGGGGAGGAAGCTATTTTGAAAACCCACATATTTGGGGTTTAAAATTCCTCATTTTCACAATCCCTACTTTTTACAGCCAAACTGTTATTAAGAAACAATGTCATTGAACCCCAACTTCTGTGGGATTGTGGCAAAATCATGCACAAAAAACCCTCATCCCAATGATCCATCCCTAGGGGTGGAGTCCAATCGATGACGGTGAAGGAAGCAACGAATGAGAGTTTAGTAGTCACGGAGGAGGACGTTCGAGCAGGGAAACAATGACAACGCAGGGGTTCCAATCGATGAGAGAGGATAAGGAGGAATAGAGTGGAGGACAAGGCTTGGAGATAGAGAGTATGGTTTTTGTTGAGTTTTGGATCAATGGGGTTTGGACGAAAGAGGGTTCAATGGAAGGAGGAGTCGGCAGTGAGTTGAGCTCGCTTCGTCGACTACCTGGGTTTTAAAGAAGACTGTTGGTGGTGCAGATTTTTGAAATCCCTTTCAAAAATATGTCCCCAAACGTGTTATTGTGTTGAAATCCTACAAACAAAGGGATTGCGGTAAAATCTCCCACAAAAATTCCTGAACCAAATAAGCCATAGGCATTAGTGTACTGTGATTGGAACGTGAACTTTCAGCACGTATTGTTATCAATTGGAGGTATATCTACCGACAAAGGACAACTAGTTTTGTGATATAATAGAACTTTAAGTCCCTCGTTTAAAATATCAGAGTTTTTTGTATGTAAGATTTGGCTGAAATAACTCGTTTGCATTGAAACACAAGATTTTAACATAAAATTTCAAATTTACATTTTCATCCTCATCTTCTTCCTTCCCCTATACCGTTTCATCCATTTACCGTCGAACAATTCTGGAAACTCCGGAACCAAAAATTTTCTTCCCAATTCTTCTTCCATCTTTCTCACCTTTCCAATCCACCAAAATTCCAAACAAGAATTAACCCATAATCAACGGTGACACAGGGAAATAAGCAAATAAAAAACCCCAATTTGAGAATCCGAACTCCAGAATTGTCGTCGACCTAGCGCTACCATCTCCATTGATGAAAGATAATCGAATGATTAAAGATTCATCGCATGAGGCTTCTTTTCCTCTTCTGAGTTTCATGTCTAGTCGATGAAAGAGAATTGGTCGGGAGTGAAGAATATGTTCAAGATTTCTCTTTTGATGGAATGGAGCAATCGACATGATCTAGTTTAAGTTACCCTAATCATGGTGGAGCTAGGTGGAGTCCAATTGGCGACAACGAAGGAAGCAACGCATGAGAGTTTAATTGTCATGGAAGAGGACGTTCTAGTAGAGAAACTGCGGCGCAAGAGAGGGAGTCCAATCGACTAGAGATGGGGAGGAGGAGGAACAGAGCGGAGGACAAAGCCGGGAGACGGAGGGTCTGGTTGTTGCTAAGTTTCGGATTGATGGGTTTTGCACGAAAGAGCGCTCAATGGAAGGGTGGAGTCGGCGGTGAGTCGAGATCACATCGTCGGCAGGGTTTTGAAGAAGTAAGAAGGTTGGTGATGGAGGGTTTAGTGATTGAAGAAAAAAAACTAAACAAAAAATGACGAGTGATTTCAGAACAGCTGATGAGCATGAGCTATTTCAAACACCCTCAATTGCAGGGTTTTTCAAATCCCTAATCTCGAAATTCCTTATGCTTCCAAATTGTGTTGAAATCCGGTAGATTGAGGAATTGTGGTAAACATTGTCACATAAATTTCGGATTCAAATGGGCCCTATGTATTTGTGTATGGTGATTCGAATATGAACTTTCAACACGTTTTGTTATTAATTGGAGTCTTGGAGGTATATCTACCGACAAAGGACTACTAGTTTTGTGATATAAATATAACTTTTTTTTTACCTTGTACGTTCGTTCGTTTACATCTTTCATCGATGTACATTCGTTACATTTTTCAATGACCTGTGCAAGTATTGTTTTCGTGCAATGAATAGAATTGATGTCACAGAGGACTAGCATTGGGTGAAATCCCGAGTACAGAAGTAATGGTAGAGCAGGGACGAAGCTACAAGGTGATTGTTAGTCGATTATAGCATGCTTTTGGCCGATAGTTCGTATTTGTTTACCATTTTTCACTGAAACCCAAGTGTCGTCTCATCTCAAATATTACATTACTCAGCGCGCAAGCTCATCATCATCATCATCATCATCTTGTGTTGGCGACTTGCCACTCGATTGACTTACAGCTCCTGGTCTGCAATCCGAAACTCCCATCAATCAATGCCTGTCCCGTTCAGATTTCTTTTTATATGTACAATGAGAGTTGGGATGGGAGATTGTATTGAATGAATAAATAATGATAAAAGGAAGTGGACAGCTGCGCTATACTGATGGAAGGAAATTGTTGGGTAAGTAAAGAAAAGAAAGAGACGAAAGGAAAGGAAAACAAGTTTTGGAGAATTTCAGGGGAAGGACTCCCCAGCCTGCGAAATCTCAGGGGAAGGACTCTCCGGCCACATATAAATACCATCTCTCCTTTCCTTCATTATTCTTGTGCCTTCTCCTCCTCCTTCTTCTCACTAAATTCTCTGTCTCTCTTCCCTTTCACCGGCAGAGTCGATCGTTTTCCCGTCGCCATGACCATCCTCATCCATCAGCCTGACGTTGGTACTTTTTTTTTTTTTTTTAACTTATTTGTTATCTATTTTCCATTGATTCTGGTTAGATAGGAATTTGTGTGTTGGTGGTAATGTTGGATCTTGTGCGGCGGATTTGCAGTGGCGGAAGTGGAGGAGAAGAACGGTGCAGAGGAGGAGGAGTTGGTGCTAGATGGCGGATTTGTGGTGCCAAACATCAACTCTTTCGGCCAGACATTTAGGTGGCTACTATTTTTTCTTCCCCTTTTTACTTTTCAAGAAATTTCAAAACAATAGATCCAATCTACCCAATTTTTACAGCGCGCTGATTGGCTGGTCACGAATTAGCCGTACCTTTTGCCTCTCTCTGTGTCTGTGATATGATATATGGTTTCTGTCTGTGGCTCACAATGGGCAATCAATTAATCATTATTGTTGTTATTATAGCTAGAAAGTAGTAGAAGCAAGAATCTGATTTCATCGGTCAAGTTCAGATCTGTTGCTGTACAGATCCTTCCAACTACCTCACTTTCACATATCTTCAATTTATAAAAAAACAAAAAAACCCCAGCTAAATATCTACATTTCAGTCTCTATCTCATTATTAAAAAAAGCAGCAGTAATTATCCATTAGAAGCCCGTTTACGGGTTGGGTCTTGGAAGGCCCAGCTTAGTTTCTAGACCGGCCCATCTAATCCTGTATTGTCCGAAACAGAGATTACGAAGCCGAAGGGGACAGACAACCAGGAGTGGAGAATTTCTACAGGACCAATCACATCAACCAAACCTACGACTTCGTCAAGAGGATGAGACAAGAGTATGGCCAATTGAACAGGGTCGAAATGAGCATATGGGAGTGCTGCGAGCTTCTAAACGATGTCGTCGACGAGAGCGATCCTGACCTGGACGAGCCACAGATCGAGCATCTCCTCCAGACTGCCGAAGCCATCAGGAAAGACTATCCCGACGAGGACTGGCTCCACTTGACCGGCCTCATTCACGGTAACGGTCGAGATTCACATAGTCACATTTGATGACGACAAGTCATTGTAGTTTTTTTATTGACTAGTGTTATTTCCCCGCCGAAAAAAATAAGCAGATCTTGGGAAGGTTCTGCTGCTGCCTAGCTTCGGTGAGCTACCACAGTGGGCTGTGGTGGGAGATACATACCCTGTTGGATGCGCCTTCGACGAATCCATTGTTCATCACAAGGTCTTATAAGTCCAAAGTTATAATTCGGTTTTTAATCAAGTAATGAATCAAAGTTACATGTTATTGATTTTTGCTTTCTTTCTGTCCTTTTGTTCAGTATTTTAAGGAGAATCCTGATTACTATAATCCTGATTACAACACCAAGTACGGAGCTTACTCCCCAGGATGTGGACTCGACAGTGTCATGATGTCGTGGGGACACGACGATTACATGTACCTTGTTGCTAAGGAGAACAAGACAACCCTACCATCAGCTGCTCTGTTCATCATCAGATACCATTCATTCTATGGTAAGTTGGCTTTACAGGATGATCAGTCTCTCGAGACGCGGAATCTAATTTCGACTTGAGAAAGGAGATTAACTATGGTGGCCTCGTCGCGATTTCATTGCAGCATTACATAGATCAGAAGCATACAAGCACCTAATGAATGAACAGGATGTTGAAGACCTCAAGTGGCTCCAAGTCTTCAAGTATCTAAACCATCTTTTTTTCCTCACTTCCTAATCATGCGTAATTAAACAGAATCGACAGTAACCCTTTTGGTGTTCCTGGATTTGTAGCAAGTATGATCTTTACAGCAAGAGCAAAGTCCGAATCGATGTCGAGAAGGTCAAGCCATACTATCTATCTCTCATTGAGAAGGTACATTAATTTTGGCCTACATTAATCCTTCTTGTCCTGTGAAAACATGGTCTCTGTTGCTTAATCCTTTACTTGCATATATGTTATGGCTGTTGCAGTACTTCCCTGCAAAGCTAAAATGGTGAACCCTACAAAACGTCGGGTTCACGGTGCGCATCATGCCAACAGGGAAGAGCATTTGAGGATCGACGGATGCGAATGCAGAGGAAGTTATGTCACAAGAAGTAGCAGAACTACTATAATGTTGCCCTTTGTTTCAAATAAGTAGTAGCAGTACTATTATATGTCTGTGTTTTCATGGCCTCTTTGTAAATAATGAGAGAAAATATGAGATAATGGTGTAGTGTACCCTAAGTTTGGCCTTTAGCCAATAAAAAATAAGAACATTTTGTCAACTGCTCTTGATTGGGATGCTTTTGCTGCAAAATTGATGTCATGAACAGGACATGATGATGACCTTCTTGGTAGTTAGATTAGACCATATATGTTGTACCAAGTAGAACAGAGAAATTCCGAGAAAGAGAGCTTAGAGATGGGATCAAGAGATGATAATCTTCCAGTCATAGATTTCTCAACTTTTGATCTCAAACCAGGAACCCCTGAATGGGAGTCCACGAGATCACTGGTCTCGAAAGCAGCTGAAGAATACGGCTGCTTTCAGGCTGTCGTCAGGAAATTTCCTGACGGACTTCAACCAGCCATCAACCGATCGCTGGGTGAAGTTTTCGAGCTGCCTCTGGAGGCGAAGCGTAGAAACGTCTCCGAGAAGCCTTTCCACGGCTACTTTGCTTCATCGAATGTCAACCCACGGTTCGAGAGCTTGGGTGTTGATCATCCTGAAACCTTCTCCAGGATCGAAAAGCTGACCAGCACCCTGTGGCCGGAAGGAAACACAAACTTCAGGTTTCTTCATTTTCTTTCATTCTGTAAAGTAGTGTAGTTTCACTTAGCAAAACTTAATCTGACTCCTTTTTATCCTTGCCGAAGCAAAACATTGCATTCCTTCTGCGATGAAATCTCGAAACTCGATCGATTGGTGAGGAGCATGATCCTAGAGAGCATCGGAGTCGACAAGTACCTGGAACAGCATATAAGCTCAACTTACTACACCTTCAGGATGATGAGGTACGAATCCCCTGAAACAATTGACAGGACTATCAGGATGAAGCCTCACACCGACAAGAACATCGTCTGCATCTTCCACCAGAACGATATCGACGGGCTCGAAGTGCAGGCCAGAGATGGAGGGCTGTGGCTCCCAGCGAATTTCGCTCCTGATTCGTCTTTCTATGTTGTAATCGGGGAATCTTTTCGGGCATGGACGAATGGTCGATTGCATTCTCCGTTACATCGAGTTGTGATGACAGGAGGGGATGATCACAAGGCGAGGTGCTCTGCTGGATTGTTCTCAGTTCCAAGGGATGGGCACATCGTGAAAGCTCCAGAGGAGTTGGTTGATGAGAATCGGCCTCTGTTGTTTAGGCCTTTTGATTATGCTGAGTACCTGAAGCTAAGGTGTGCTGATGTGGACAAGGCAGTTGTGCCTTCTCTTAAGGATTATTTTGGTGTATGAAATCAAAAATTGCAGTGATTCTGCATTTGTGCTTACTTTGATTTGCTCTGTAAATATGTTCTTATGATGTTAATGCATGATGATTAGGTGTGCACAGGTTGACTTGTGTATTATTGAGAAACAATTCGTCCTAGTTATTGTCTCGTTTGGTTAGAAGCATGGTTCGTGAAAAATGTACCTAGTGATAAGGTATTTTATGGCAAAACCATGATTCAATCTTTAGTATCGTTAAATATTGCTTATCAGTTTAACCTAGAATACTTGTATTTTGTGGTTGAACCGTTGGTACGATACGGTTTCATGAACCATAGTTTGAATGTGAGTGAATTGAAAATGAAGGACATAAAACATTCAATACTTGATAAAAGTAACGCGGTGGTTTAGTTTGATTTTGATTTGTACACATCATTAATTGTGACTAATGAAAATGATTTTACGCTTCTAGATAAAACATTCAATACTTGATAAAACATTCAATACATAAAAGCTTACGATTTTACGCTTCTAGATCACCAAAACGCTTTTACGTAAAAACGCGCTTTTGACTACATTGCTCGACTGGGTATGGGGTGAGAATGGGTAAAATCCACAAAAAATTTGATGGGTATGGGGCGAGTATGGTTTTAACTTCGACCACCCCATACCCATACCTATACTCACCCAACCAAGAATATTTCTTCACATATAAATTATACATGGATAAAATTGAAACTTATCAATGATAGTAAAGGTAATTTAATACAATGTATAATAGAAATGCAATTGAGTGACCACCGAAATCCAAATTTAATTCCTTTTTGTAAATTCTCCCTTCATTCTTTCACTTTTCCCTCTTATTAACAAGATAATTATGTTAGTTAAGTATTACTTAGTAGATGTATCAAAGTTAGAAACTAATGATTTGGAAAATATTATATTGTATCTTATTGATTAATAGATGTTTTAGGATCATGCGATTTTAATCGTATTAAGAATGATTGTATCTTTGTTGACTTAACGTAAGTCTGTTTAGCGTTATAATTAAAAATTTACATGTAAAGTCTTAGGTTTGATCCATCAATAACCGTGGTGGTTAATTTGATTTTATGTTGAACCGTGAAAATTTGTTTGATCCATCAATAACCGTCCAAGAATTGAACCGAACCGCTATCATAACTGGTTTGACAATTCTACTGTCTAGTCGTTGATCCGTTTCGGTTCTTATAACAATCAAACAACAATGCATCACCATTGCTTCTAATCCGATTTGCTAGCTCAGATCTTTTTTTTTTATTAAATGGATGCAAACGCACCCCTACCTTTCATTCAAAACCACCCGGGGTTGAGAGAGCCCCTGCTAGCTCAAATCTTTAATTTGTTGTAATCCAATTAATTTGATACTTAAACCAACTATTAATTATAAGTTATTAACTTAATTGAACCTCTCATTTGTGATTTGTATCAATTTGTTTGAATCTTATCTAATTCATAAAGAAAGATAGAAAGGTACGGAAATGGGTTATAGAAGATAGTGACAAGAAACATAATCAACATTAAATTATTTTCAACCGTACAAATAATCATATAATCAAACACCACTAGCTTGAAGACCAAGTCTCAACTCCTGATATAAACTAATTAAGAGATAACATCTGATCTCAGACAACTCAACAAACTACAGCAACATGGGTTATGATGATCATCAGGAAACCACCTCTGTTCGAATCCCAACCATAGATTTCTCCGACGTGGACTTGAAAGCTCCTACTGATGCCAGCCGCTGGAACATGGTGAGGTTGGAAGTCTGGGAAGCTGTCCAGGAATACGGCTGCTTTCAGGCGACGTACGGGGATCTGCCACAGCAGCTTCGGCAGGCGATGGATGCTGCCATGGAGGAGGTTTTCAGCCTGCCGGTGGAAGTCAAGCGGCGGAATGTCTCCGACAAACCTCTCCATGGCTACATCGGATCCTCGCCGGTGATGCCCTTGTACGAAAGCTTGGGAATTGATGACCCTGAAACCGATCATGGGGTTCAGTCCTTCACTAACGTCATGTGGCCAAGTGGTCACGCCAAGTTTAGGTAAGCAAAAATCGCGAGTCAAATTCTGTTTTCTCCGTAGTAAGTTATTGACACTAACTGGTTCTTGACAATTACTTCTTTTACCCGAAAATTGACAGCGAAATTGTGCTGTCATTCTCAAAGAAGTTGTCAGAACTGGATCAGGCAATAAGAAGGATGTTAGTGGAGAGTTTGGGTGTTGAGAAGAAGAACATGGAAGAGCAGCTGAACTCAACATGTTATCAACTGAGGTTGACTCACTACAGAGAGCCCCAAACCGTCCAGGAGAAAAAGGTTGGGCTTAAGGCCCATGTGGATCAAAACACACTCACGATTTTGCACCAAAATCAAGTTGATGGGCTTGATGTCCAAACCAGAGATGGTGAATGGATCAGTGTCAAATTCGCTCCCCAGTGCTTTCTTGTACTCGTTGGCGAATCTTTTAAGGTAAGTTCTCTCAATTCACAAGGATTATAAGATCGTACCAGAAGTTATACCAAAAACGTTAGAGATCGTTTGCTTATAGAATTTTAAAAAATGAAAGATTTTGGTAAAACCTTGAATTTTGGGATTGAAGAATTATGTTGGATTTGTGTTGGATTTTAAAAATTGCATGTTTGCTTGTTGGATTTCTAAATGAACTTTACTATCTTGGATTTATGGGTGAAATAATGAGTTTACCTTCTTATCCTTCTTCCTATCATTAATAAAGAATTTTTATTTTTTTTGTTAAAGATATTTTGGTCATTTTATAATTAGTGGGTCCACGAATTTTGGCAACTCTCAAAATCCTAACTCATGTGATGGGATTTTATAATCAATGGAGTCCACGGATTTTGAGTAAAAAAATCCCACATTTGTGGGCCCCACGAATTTAGGCTAACCTCAACAAACATGGGTTTTGTCATTAATCCATCCTATATGGGATTTTGGGCTCTCTCGTCAAAATCCTCCAAGCAAACGACTAGTATTGAGATATTTTTTTGCTAAAATCATGGTTTAGCCGTGGTTCAACCTTTTCAAATCACCTACCGATTTAGCCTTCGACAGGCGGTTTTTCTGGTCGAACCTCGCAAGCGATCGCATTCCATCGGTCGTAGAACTCCGCAAGCGATTCCTCTTTCTTTTGTCTGCAATTTATGAGTGCCGAGACCGTGAGTTTGCGGCGCCGTTGGGACGCGAACTTTGTGGAGAAAAGCATCGCGAATTGTTCGAAGTTTTCTATCACCCCTTCCGGGAGGGAAGTATACCACGTCCGGCATTGACCGCTGAAGGTGACGGGAAACGCGCGGCACAAATCAGAGTCTGTGGCGTTGATGAGTTGCATTTTCAACATGAAGGCGCAAAGGTGGTCGGCGGGATCTGAGGTCCCGTTATACGAGGGTAGCCCAAGAGAGGAGAAATTGGGCGGTACTGGGGTTTTGAACAGCTCCTTAGAGAGCGGATTTTGGAGGACGTTGGGATTTTTGTGTTTCCCGTAAGTCGACCGTAAGTGTTCCTCGAGGAAACCCAGATCGGCTTCGTCTGCCTCCTGTCCCCCGCCTTCTGCCCGAGCAGGGCTATCGAGGATCAGGGCGGCCTTTAGCTTTTCTTCTCGAGTCCTTCCTTTCGACCCCTCGGGCGGGTCTTCTCTTGTCTTCAGCAGCTGGAGGATTTGCGACAGGCTATCTTGCATACTTGCAATTTGTGCGCCTTGGCTTTTGACTACCTCCTCGAGCTCTAATTCATCTTCAACTCTCGGTGATAGACCTCGGAGGGTGTTGTTCTCGGTCATACCCTTGAGCGGGGTTTCAAAGTCGTCTCCCATCTTTTCCTGGTGACGAAGTAGTGTGCCCCACGGTGGGCGCCAAAATGTTTATGCCTGGAAAGTACCGGGCGGTTTGTGAAGCTCACTGACTCCATGCGGTCTTGGGAGGATGAGAGGCGACCTTCGAAGTCCTGCAAAAAAGGTCCTCAGGGGAGCCCTGGGACCTCCCCCGATGCCTAAGTTAGTGAGAGAAGTAGGTAGAGTGAAATAGAGAGAGAATGGGGTAGATAGGAGTTACCATAAATGTGATCCGTTGTTGGGTATTTATACTAGTTGGGTCTAGGAGTGAGGACAGGCTACGTTATGTCGGGCGGTCTGACGCTGTGTCGGGCGGTCCTCGACCGCCTCTGACTTCTCATAAATGCCTGGTCAGATCCGTACTTTGCTCAGTATCCGTACCTTGTTGTCAGGATGTTGACTATATCCTCTGTCGGGCGTCCTGCTTTGTTTCCGTTGTTTGCTAGGCGGTCTTATTAGGTAAGACCCATAGACCGCCTCCTATTTCTCTGGATTGGGCTTGTTTGCTTTATTGGGCCTTTTTAGTGGTCATGGGCTCAGAGGCCCAAATGCTTTAATGATTGTCCCAACAGGTTAATATATTTGTATGGCTTGAACTTTGACCAAAATAAACATTCAGACCAATCTTTTCGATCTATAACATTCTGGGCGAACTATCCATCAAAATAACTAATTTGGCCAGACCCGACGTTGGACCGTTAACTTGGACGGTCAAACGCGTTGACTACCGGTCAACGCGCCATGTCACTGCCAACTAAGCATAAATAAACTTTAAAAAAACTCATCAATTCCACATATTCTATAATTTTGAATTATTATAATTAATTTGAAAAATTAAAAACCCAATAATTATAAAAAAAAAATTAGAAAGAAAAACAAATTGGGAAATTATTCAATATTCTCTCGAGACAAATTGGGCACCCAATTCAATGAAAAAAAATTAAATTGGGCATCCAATTCTTCCCCAAACAACTAACTCTCCATCCAACCTACTTTTTCCCCAGTTCTCCATCGTTGCCGTCACACGAAGTCTCCATTTAGGCTCCACCTTTATAGCAACTGTTCCAACCCCTGTGCCAAACTCCCAATCCCCACTTTGCCGACGGCGGTGACGACTATGGAAGGGGAAGAAAGACA